TTAAGCCAAATTTGTGTACATGATCAAGATTAGCTAAGTGGTCTAATAATATAAATTTTGACCAAAATTTAGATTTTTCCTTTTCTACTGATAAAAATTAAAATAATTTTTATATTTGATTTGATTTGAATTGATTCAATCTGATTTGATTTGATTTAATTTAATTCAATCAAATATTTGAATTTAATTTGATTAGATTCAATTTAAAAAATCAAATCAAATTCAAATTGCTTAAATATTTGATTTGATTCAATTTTAAGAAATCTTAATTTTGGCTTTAAACACATAATATTTTTAATTCATCCCTTACAAATGGACGAATATTATTATAAAGGTATTCTTGCCTTTTATAATCCAAAAGAGATGATGTGAACACTAAAATAGATAAAAATTTAATCTCTTCAAAAATATCTGCTTTCTTAGTTTTCAATAAATTGAATTCAGCAAAAGGTTTATTAGCAATTTTTTGAACTTTTACTGTATCAAGATTAGATGCTTCAAAAAAAATGGTAATATTTCTATATACTTGGTAATTTTTTAAAATAAATTTCCAAAATAGCTTTAATATCTAAGTATTGAAAACCTTTTTCTACCTTGTAGCATTGAGTTTTATTCAATCCAGCTGGACTAAACTTTTATCACCTCAGTCACATAATCTAAACAATTTACTCTTGTTTTTTTATAGAGTTTTATTAAACCAAAATTACCATCACATTTGAATTTAGTGTGCCTAGCAATCATGAAATTTAATTCAATACTTTCATAATAACTATAAATTACTAAATATAATAAAACCAAATTATTATATTGTTTTGATTTTGTCTTCTAACATTATCACAAATAATCTATACTTTTCACCTTTATTTAATTTTTTAATTCTATTAAAAATTATACTAAGTGTGACATTGAATCTTTTTCCTATAATTTTATCTTTATTAAGAATATGATTAATTTGTTTCCTACTGCTTCATTTTAAATACCAAGTAAATGAACTTTATATGAATTAAGATAATAATTTTACTTACTTGTTGATCTAAATGTAATACATAAATATTTTAGGCTCAATCATAATTATAATGAACAGTAACATTAATATTATAATACTGTATTTTACTTTTTGTATAATTTTGATTAACTAATTTTTTTCTTCTTCTGCTAATTTGGTATTTTATTATAATAATTTCTTTCTATTTTATCTTTGGATAAATGTTCTTTAAATCTTTTGAGCATATTTTTAGTATCTTCTTCTTGGCAAATATTATAATATAAACCATCTCTAGATGATAACAAGTATCACATAAGTCAGTTTTTGAATTTATAATTTAAATCTCTAGAATCAATTAATATCATAATTTTTTTTGAAAATATCATACTTCAAAGATTTTAAATTACTATCTTTTTCTAAACCAGCTAGAAAATCTTTAAGTACTAATTTATAACTTATTTCTGGTAAAAATATAACTGATTGTATTATTCTATTAATACTTCTCCCTGAACTTGATAATCCATGAACTTCTGCATAATTTTCTAGAAAATTTTTTATTACTTTAACAACATTTTTATTAATTACTTTTTAGTTTTCCATTAAGACATTCTTTTAATATTACTATAAATTCTTGGTAAAAGACCATTGTTTATTAAATGATTTCTATCATTTTTAAAGTTCTACCAATTTTTAATATATTAAGATAAGTTTCTTGATAAAGAGATGTATTGTGATCCTAATAGTAAAAAATTCTTTATTATATCTGGTTTTTATTTTAAGATGTCTACTAATTCTTGTTGATCTACCATCTATTGTTTTAAGTTAGATCATTAAAAATATGTCTTGTTTTACTTTAGAAAGAGCTTAAAAGAATCCTTTTAATTCTGCAAATTCTTTCTTAGAAATTTTTAAAGAATAATTACAACCATAACCTTTTTTAAAAAATTAATGGCTTTTTAATATTCTATTAGAACCATTATACTTATTATTTTTCATATATACTTATTCTTATATAAAAACATTCAAATCATAAAAATTCATTTATTTTTTAATAACTTTTTTATATAATAGTAATATAAAAAATTATTATAACATTTGTACATTTTAAAAAAGTAGATTTTCTGCTTTAACTAAATAATACCTATTTATCATTATGAGAATCTAAATCTAAATCCAAAATTTGAAAAATAAAAAAGAATTAAATATATTAATAAAATGTTAAATTATATTGCCTACAATATAAAATTTGTTATTTTTAAAAAGGATTACTTTTTTAAATCATGTTCTTTAGTAATTAGTTTTTCATAATCAATATCTGAATGTTAAAGTAAGCCTTTACTAACAAAATATGGATAAATGGTGAAGTTGTGATCTGTGACTGTAGCGATTATTTGATTTGGTTGACAAATATGACAGATTGGTCATATTTGACTGATAATCCATATATATCATATATATAATATTTGTTAATTTTATTAACTTTATTAAATTTGTTATATTTGATAGATTTATTATATTTATTATATTTATCATATTAGTTATATTTATTATATTAGATATATTTATCATATTATATTACTATTAGTTTATTTTATATAAATAGCATATATTTTCCCTTGAGTTGCAAGATAACTTGAGATAGGATTTTTGAATAAACCAAGAGTTCAATAAAGATATTTGTTATTTATTTACTATTATCTTTTGCTGTATCTTTATACAGGCATGATTGTGATAAAGTTATTGTGATTAATTCGAAGAACTGAATTATATTGTCTAAGTTTTATTTCCAGCTCTCTGGCTAATAATGGCTTGATATACTTTTCCACTTCAATCAAAGTCAATAATTTATATATACTTTATATCAATTGAAACCATAATATTGGATGCTTGAAGATTACCGTACACATAATTCCCAGAATGTAAAAGTTTTGCAGCATCCATCACTTTTTGTTATAAATATTCCTGATTATCTCTTTTTTCTTTCAGAAAATTGTAAAGATTAATATACTTATTATCAGCCAAATACTCCATAATAACTATTTATCAATATCCAGAAAGATTATGAAGTGCAAAAAGTTCAGATGCAATTCCTTTTTTTTCACAAAATTTGTGAATATCTTTGCAATATATTTGTGTGAACTTCACCATCATCTGCTTATCTTTAAACTCTCTATTTTGTCCTTGTACTCTAAAACTAGTTTGTTACTATATAGTTGATCTTTATAAATAAAATTGATATCATTATTATTATCTGTTTTAAATGAGAAAGGATATGGAAAACTGGCTGGTTGTTGAAGACTTAAATTATCAATGTGTTGTGATACTTTGAATTCTGAATAATAATTTTTTAGCTCACCAAGAGTAGTTTTTAATGCCTTAAAAGAATGAGCAATGAAATTTATCATTTCTGGATCATTCTTTAAATAAAGAAGTGATAGGAGCTATGTAAAAGGATCTATTGTAAAATCTTTTCCAAAAATAGCACTAGCAATATCTAAGTAAGGATCAAAAAGATAAAGAATAAAAATGGATTGAGACCTTTACATATTGTATCATTTGTATTGATACTAATCTGTATAGCATATGAAACATATGCTTGTATATATGAACATCATGTTCTTTCCTAATTTATTTTTAGTCTCGCCAATAAAAAGGCAAAATGAATTCTTTCCAATAGAATAACAAGTTCCAATATAAGCTTCTTGACCAATTTGTGGAAGTGGTAGCTTTGTAACTGGATGATCAAAATATTCAGATGTTCACTCTAAAATTCAATTATCCTATCATTCTCACAGTTGAAAGCTTTTGTCATTTTTGTGATAAGTTTTATTACCAAATCACAATCACCAATTGAGATATGAATATTGGTGCAGTACTCCTGAAATTTTGCAAATGCTTGATGATATAGAGTGATAGGAATATCAGCATCATAAGATTGATGATTAAAAATTATAGGAAAAACCTCTTTCTATTTATATAAACTACAAAAGTTTGAGGGTGATACCTTCATATCTTTAATAAGTTTTACTTTTTTTTCAGCTATGGTATATGTATAATCATCCTCTACTGAACGTTTCATTCTTTTTTTCTCTAAATAGCAAATAAATAAATAAAGTTAATCCATATTCTTTATATTGTCACTGGGAATAATCTTCTTTAATTACTTTATGTAATATATCTAAGTTCCTTTGCTGCAGTAAGTAACTTCCTTATCATCAGGCTTTACAATCTTAGGGAATCTTACATCCTATAGGTATCCGGAATGCCTAGGAATTACTTCACTTGATTTACGAACTTAAGGGTTTAGGAATTTAGGAAATTTAGAGAATTTATTTATTCTAAGTGATGAACTCAATTGCAAGTTAGTATAGTAGTTCACGATGTCAACGTCTGAAATCAACCTTACTGCGCCAATCATTGATGACCTATGAAATGACGACGTAATAAGTACTATGCCAAATGATCTACAGAATCCCTGATTTCCCTGATTCGCCTGATCAGCCTGATTCCTAGGATTAGCCTGATTCCTCTTATTTCCATTATTTCAATTATATTCGTTATATTTATTATTTTTATTATTATTATTAT